GTTTAAGATTCACTTACATGTGAGAACTACCCTGGTGTCAATTATCTGGGGAGATACCACATTATTCACTTGAGACCAATGGTACCCTGTAAGCCCTGAACTATGCTTGTTGAAAACAAAAGCTCTACATAGACTTTTGTATGGCAGAAAACCAGAAACTACTAGACAACCCTCCAACATTACCAAGGCTAGCAGTAACCAGGCACGGGCACCCACGTGGCTTCTCCCTAACAGAGAAGTTCCACACACAGCTATGACTAAGAGTACATTAAAGGAGAAAAGTAAAATGAATGAACATATATGCATGGCTTTCTCCAGTATTCGGTATCCAGTAGCACGAAGCATATTCTCATAATTCTGCTTAAAATTTAAAGTAGTAACAATAGCAAATGAATGCACCAACTGTGGAAAGTACTGGGTCATCCAGAATAAAAATGAGTCAATCTATAATTTTTAAGTAGAAAAGGCACAAATGATGCAACCAACAAAAGAGTGCTAAGTTAATCAGGAATACTGGATGGCAAATAAATATGATTTTGCAAATGTTCAATAACACGCCAATTCAAAACACAAAGCTGTGCACAGAGCATCAGGCCACATGGGACCACATATCTGTGCACACAGAAAAGAAACATGCAAATAATTTCACCAGAACTTGGATAAAGAAAAATTAGGTGAAGAGACTACAGTTAAGTTTTATATCTTCACAAAATTACCCTATATTTTCCACAATGAAAATCTACTGCCTTAAAGTATTTGAATGTTCCCTTTTAAAGAACAAAATATTGTCTAACCCTATAATTCCAAAATTCATAAACATCAATGTAATCAGTAAAATCATTCATTAATATTTTAAAATAAAGGTCTCTAACAAGTTTGCATTGGACGTAGGAAAAGAAACTCAAACATTTACGCACAGTATGTATCTGTATATAGTCTAGGTGCATCTACTTTTCATAAAACATTCCTTTCAGAGACTGTGCTGCTTTTCTCAAATTCCCAGCACTAAGTCAATTCTGACAGTCCTCACCATTCTTATAAAGCATAAGAAACAAAAGTATAAACAAAAATCTATGAAATAATATTTTCTTAATTTTAAGCATCAGTTACTTCTAAAATATTATAAAAGCATCTTCAAAGTTTAAAACTGATCTATCTTTTAATGGTATATGCATAAAAATAAGGCCAGGATCACTAAAAAAACTCATGCCTACTTTAATAAAGCATTTTTTTTAAGTTAGGTTCAATGTAGGACTATATAGCACAAACCTTCACCAAATATAAACCTAGATGCTGACTTGCTGAGCAAATGATTAATGATTTAATTATGTACTAACTCTTTTGTTGATTCACAGACCTCAGTGAAAACAATAAAAAAAATTCTGATAAACAATATTATGAGTTTCCAGGTAAATTCCAGAAAAAATGAAAAGACTAATATCAATAAGATGTTTTAGAAAAAGAGCCTTTAGAATAACAAATTAAATATTTTCCTTTAGATTTTTAAACAAAAGGAATAACAAATTTTAATTATATAATAGCAAAACAAATTTGTAACTTTTCATAAAAGCTTTTACCTTGGTTTTTAGCTGGCAATAAAATCTTAAAAATGCATATGTAAAAATTCTGTGGGCTGTATACTTGTTCTCTTTGTTATGCAAAATTGAAAAAAAATATTTGGTTTTAAAAGAGATTGAGAAAATGCATTTTATTACCACATATCACCACTGAATACATGAGGAAAATAAGTTAAAGTTAGTGATTCTGTACTTACATACTAATAGCAACCATTTGTATGGATTAAGGCTGCTGCTGGTGATGTTTATATGAATTTTGATGCAGTTTTAATATTTCTTAGCTTCCCAAATAATAACATCACAAGAAATGAAGACAAACCAAAGTATGCAGTTAATATATAGCAAGATATCTTTTTTAAAAAGGTGGAGGGCATGTGTATTAGTAACATATACATAGTGTATATGTTAGAATGGATTCACTAAGGGCTGGAGAACTAGAAATAAGGATCAGGGCAGATCTACTTTGATTGGAAGTTTAGAGTCTGGCTGGGGGTAGACACACCAGAATACCACTTGATTAGGGAAACAAGAAAGGCTTCCCTTTTGGCTACAGCAGAGTTGTATCAGGAACCCCTTAAAACCATCAAGACCCATTTATCAAGTTCATTGAAATACTTAAATAGAAACTAATAGATCATAGGACTTTCATTGAAAATGTATTTTTGTCTTGCTCTCTTGTTTTTATTTCCCATAGTCTGGTCAACACAGAGACAGTGGAGGTGAGGGAAAGAAAATGTATGTATGCATGCACATCTGTATTTCTTCATCTACATGTATGCTTATGTGTCTGTATACATGTGTAAATACACATTTTATCCAGAATTTACTTATAAATTATGTTTTGTGTGTCAGGCTCCATGCCTGGTCTTGCAGATGGAAAGACAATCAAGAATGGTTAAATAGCAAACAATTCACTTGCTTGGTTTGATTAATAAATGTGCCTTCAGTTTTACTTCAGTGTCAGTTACAAAGGAAATTGCCAACTGTTCACATGAGCATCTCCCTTGCACACAATTCATCTCAAAAGATTCAATACAGCAGGCTCTATACTTCCAACCAATACAGTCCTGCCATAATCCTTATTTCCAGTTCTCCAGCCTTTTACTAATCCATCCTATGAAAGGGACCATCAGCAGTCAATCAAATCTTCCTGATTGGTTGATTGCTCAAGTGATCAGCATATATTTGGAAAGACAACAATAACAATCAGTTAATAGCTGCTGATAGTTTATTAGATATCAGATAATCAGCCAATTTTCTTACATTACTAAACTGTTTTTAAAGATAGTAAAGCTGAGACTGAATTTGAAAGAACTGGTCCAAAGCTACACACTTAAAAAGTTATGTCTACTTAAAAGTTCTGCCCAGGTTCACTAGTGCAATTCTACCTCTTAGAAAAGAAAGGTCCTATCTGCAGATAGCTCAATCCAAAACTATTTTGAGTCACAGTTAAGAGCATTAAGGTCAACACAATTAAAAAAATAAATAGTATGTAACAAGTATATAAACAAAAAAGCTGAAAAAAAGCAAGCATAAAAGATGTACATATACACATGTTGTTTATGTATCTCTGAGACTATTCGCCAACTGAAATGACAGAGACCATGTTTTCTCTGCATTAACAACTATTGTCAAGATTCAACCATATAATTTTAAAAACTAAAGGATTTTGTTTTTAATGATCCTGCTATGAGTATTTTCAGCCAACTGTCTTACCTGAAATCTATCCTTAGCATGCATCACAGGGCGATTAGATACTATGCTCAATAGATAGCAATGGAATACCACATTTAATTTTGAAATCGCTCTAATATGAATGTTTCATTTATATGAATGTGTTATAATGCATATATATTTGGAGCATCGCAAATAGAATCCATGAGGAAAGGTTTTTTTAAGTAGAATAGGTAAACCTTATTTTCAACAGATCAAAGATTTCACCAGTTTTGTAAATCCAATTAAATAAGACATAAAACATGCTAACAGTTTTCTAGCTAAAATTTTAATTATGGAAAAGTTGAAAATTTTAACATTATCTCCACAGCAACCACAACCTGGCAACAGATACATTAAATATGTGTGAACAGAAGATAAAACAAGGCAGGACACAAGAACTAAACTGCAATGGTTATCAAGACTGTAGACCTAAACTTAGCAACTTAAGTCATTTATTCATAACCCCAAACTAATATTTTATATCTTTAGCTTTAACAATTACTAGAAAATTAAAAATAAGTAAATTATAGTTTACAGACAAAAAAAAAGTTGAGGTTTACTGGAGTTTTGTAACATCGCAACCAGTGATAGCTCCTGCATCACAGATTTTAGCAATCCTATTCAAGTGCAGAATTCATTTGACCAAGTCGATACTGCCTTATCTTATTATCCACGCTTCATCAGTTCTTTGTACACTTGACTTCTACCACACTCTGTTGCAAATTCTTTTAGGTAGTTGTTAGAAATAAACAGAAAGCAAATTAAAATGTTCTGTCTTATATCCCTAGTTACTTCCTACCACAAAGAGTCACAAAAATAGTGACTAGAAGTCCTTAGTATTCTATCTAGTGACTGATACATAGCAAAACTAGAAATAAATTTACACATCTACTAATAGGAAAGCAATCGGCCTGGTAGGAATTTTGCAGTGTTACCAAACTTTTCATAATTCAGCCTCTGCAACAGCTAAAATGTGCATAATAGAATCAATTTTGATAAAATACTGTGAACATTAAAATTACCCAGCAGATAGTAATAACTAAAGTATTGTATATTTTTTCCTGTATTTTATTTTTACCTTCAGTTTCCTCATAGGCTAATAGGGATTAATTAAAAACTAACCCAAAAAGTTGGGATTAAGTCAGCTGGCATAAATGCCAAACAAATAGAAGGTCCTCGACAAAACAAGAATTCATTTTTTTTGTACATTGCTACTAAACTTCTAGTTTTTTAAAGATTTATTTATTTATGCATATAGAGCTGGGGTACAGGCCAGAGTCTCAAGGGCGGTGAGAGGATTCACCAGAAACAGAGTGGGGAGCAGAATAGGCAGATTGATGAAGTACACTGCTGAGGGGAGCAGCGGGCGAGACGGGAAAGATCTGTGGCGCCATGTGGGCCACCTCCAGGGCCAGGTACTGAGCTCTCACTGAAGAGGCTGCAGCTAGCTTGCAGTGCTGTGTCCTAATTTGTTGTACCATGAGGGAGAGACCCGAAACTTCTACTTTAAGATCCAGATGAAATTTTCAACCCAAAGCATTAGAAGGTTATAAATCAACTGCAAATAAAAATCACAGCATTTTTTCTGGCACCAGTGAAACTTTAATAAGAAAGACTACAATTAGCACTTATGACTATATATGTGATGTAATAGAAGAAATACCATAATTTCAATGTCCTTTACATTCACAATCATTCACATTTTACCTTTTCTTCCAGTTGGTCCTTCAAACACTGATATTTTAGCTTCAGTTTTTTGTTCTCATTTTCATTCTGGGATAATTCCTCTGTCAGCCTGTCACACTGTGATTTCAACTTCTCTAGTTGACAAAAATGAGCCTTAGCCAGATTCTTATCTTCCAAGTTTTCTGCCTGAGAAAAGAGAATGAGAAAACAAAAAGTACACTGCCCACATCATATGGTACGCCAGTCAGTACACACTTCTCACTGGACAGAAGAGCTCAAACTTTGTAAGTGTAGGCATTCACAGTTAAACTCTTTTCATTCATTTAAAACCTCCTCAGCATTAACTAGACATTTACTAAGTGACAGATACTGTAAAAGGTGTTGAAGACAAAAGAAAAGAACAAATTAAGATATGTAACAGACAATTTCTACGAAGATGAAGAGAGAGCTTAATAAAGATGTAAAGTGCATATACTAGTAACCTAAAGCAGAGACACCAATTCAGCTGAGGGGAAGCAGCTGTTAGAAAAGCATTCCAAAAGGGAATGGCTAACCATGAGATAACACAGACAGATCAGTGTTTTCCTCTATAAAGAATTTAAAAGCTTTCCTGTTCAACCTACCTCCTGGTTTTTGTAAAAGATTGTATACTTTCTGTACTATACAACTATTGACAATACTCTTCTCGGGCTGAAAAGATTATGAATCGTAACATTCATGAAAACAGAAATAACTTAGTAAGAAAAGGAGTTTACAGTAATTATTTCAGCATTAGCAATGCAAGTAAGAACGTGGTTTTTGAACTTTCTTTGAAATATAAGCAGAATCAGCTTCAAAAAACTATGAATATCGATTCTGTGTATGGGATTCAATAACGATTTGCCAAGTCGGTGAACTTAAAGATTTAAAAATGACAACAGCACAAATACTTACTATAGATCAGGCATTGTTCTAAATACTTTCTGTATGAAACAAGTTTTTATTCCTTTTATCTTCTCAACTTAACCAGGGAAGTACTATTATTTCTCCTTTTCAGAACTGAAGCACAGAAACTCCACAAATTCAACTGAGGTTATTTAATAAATGTATAGCCAGGATTTGAACTCAGGAATTATCTCTAACATCTGAGCTTTTAACAGCTCTGCCACAATGCCTTTCAAAAGGTACATATATCATTTTGAAAACCAACTGGGCACATGGTAGGTATAACCAACTCATAATAGTCTATAAGGAATTACACACAATCAGTTTAAAAAATACACATTTTAGTGCCTAAAATACATTTATTTATTTTCATCCTATAAATGTATTATAGGATGTAATGTATTTGCTTAATTGGGTATAAAGAAATACAATCACTAGAAGCAATTTCCTAAATGGAAGAAGTTTTGTGAGTTTTAGACAAAAATCTATATTTTATTTGCCCCACAAAATTCACCTAAGGTGTAATGCCACTTTGAATTAAAGGTATTGACTTTTTATGAACAATCCTATAGTTACAACCCAAAAGGAATTTTACAAAATAGTCTCTCAACAGGAAAATTATTCAACTATGATTTTAACTTTCAGTGGACTGATTGTGCTTTTCTGTATGCCCTATAAACATGGGTATCGAAAAGGGTGTCCTTCTGAGTTGGCTCTTAGACATTCTAGAGAACTAGTTATGTTCACCTCTTCTAACTCTCTCTCTCTTTCTCTAGCCATATCTCTTTGGACAGTGTGAAATCAGACAAATGGGGCATTTATACCTCTGAACTTAGCAAATGCTATAAATCAGGGTTTCTTCTTCAATTCCCAGTCTATTTTACACATTTGCCAACACACCAATGTCTCGGTTTCACTAGAACTTACTTCTCATTGCTTATCACTACATTTTCATTTCATTTTGGAATTGAAAAACATAACATCAAACTCAAAGAAACCTTGTAACAGAGAAAGGCATAGTTATTCCATTTTGTTGATGAGGAAAGTTTAAGTAATTTGCCCAAGATTAAATGGTCAAGTGGCAGAAGTAAAGAATTCCAATCATGGATATTTTACTTTCAATAAAAGATTCCATGAAATGATTTTGTTGAAATTACAAATGTATAATGACATATCTTTCAAATGTTAACAGCAGCTAGAGTATCCCATTAAAATATTTTACATTTAAAAACTAATACAAGAAGGGTAATTGTAAATGGAAAAACTGTAACTCATTTGTGCAAGGTAACATATAGGCACTACTCAAAAAGTAGCAGGCTAGTGTAAAGCCAAAACACAAGGAAATATATTTACAGATATTTGTCCAGTCATACTGTACTTAATTCAGTATGCTAGATCTTTTGCTATGACCATTATTATCAATTCCTCTTAATTAACCTAAGTAAAAATTATAGGGTTATATTAATGAAATAGCATGAGACTGGAGTTGTTCTTCATGTGTAGTAAATTATTTAACTTAAAGGGAAAAATGCTAGCCTTTCTTAATCGCTTGTTCTCCTTTTAACCTTATGTGCTGTTTGACCCAGAGTAACTATGATACCCCCCTACCTAGTGTGCTTCCAAATTAAAAAAGAAAATAATCTAGAGATTCCAGAAGATTTACACAACACTTTTAAATTAAATTTTATATTCTTTACTTACAGATAATGGCTGTAATCTGCATTGCTATCTTTCTATAAATGAATACAAAACACTTCCTAAAGAAAGGATGAAACCAATTTTGCCACATTATACAAACCAAATCCAGATAGAGGACAAAACAAAAGAGAAGCAAATTTCTGATTTCCAGATTTTTAAACATTTTGAACCCAACACCCATTTAATTTCATCTGTATGTCCAGAACATTATACGAAACACTGGAAGAGAATATAAATGTGGTTAAGACTAACACCTGCCCTTCTGGAGACCATGGACACAAAACTGTAGATAATGCAGCCTAAATGTGCTGAACCAACTAAGCGTTATGGAAACAATGGTTGAGAGATTTATCCCAACCTCAGTTGAGATATAGCCCAAGTCCAGGAAGTTTACATGTAAAGTGAGTTATGAATGAGGTCTTAAAGCATTTTCCTCCCACAGACTACGGGAAAAGGACAAGCAGTGAAATGTATATATGGGAATTGGTTCTACACCTGTATGAGCAACATTTGGGGAACTCAAAAGGCTCCCAATGTGGAAAAGTGGGATCATAATGAGGAGGTCTGAACTGGAGCTGAGGTTTTGCTCCAGAGACAGCAAATAATAAAGGTTCTTTGAGGAGAAAATGACAACCTCAGATCTGTGTTTTAGGAAAGAAAATCAGGTAATACCTAAAGCTTAGAAAGAAGGAGTTGGAAGTTAAAAGAGAAACTAAGGGAAAGGAGGAAGGCTACTTAGAGCCTTCCTTTGTAGTCTAAACTAGCATCCTATATCCTCTTTTCTTTTTCCTGATGTATTGTTCATATGCTAACGCATCCACTTAGCAAGTATAATGTCAGTCGAGCAGACTGTGCCTCCAGACTTTATCTGCAACTCAAAAAAGCATATCAGAATGTGAGGATAATGTTCTTACAGAGATGATCTTAAATCAAGATTGACTGATTAAATGATTACTAACTCCTGCTGACATGCATGTTATCACACAATCTAAATAACTGTGCTGAGAGCCTGAAATAGGTCAGCGGTAGTGTCAGAAGGAAATGAGGTTGTAGTTTCAACACCACTCTCAGGAAAACTAAGCTTCTAAAAAAGAATCATTTCTCAAACTTAACAAAACAAATCATTATATACCAGTGCTCATGCATAAACTGCCTTCCTTGACATTCATACTGTTCACCTACTGCCTTTCCTTGCTAATATAGCTGAGATGACTGCCTAGTCATTACCTCGCTGAGGTCTTTAGCATGTGACCAATAATGCCATCATAGTAGCATCATGAATACCCAGCAGTGATCCAGCAACCTGACATCTAACCTATTAGAGCTATTCTATTTCAACCACCTATGTCCACATTCCACAACAATGATGACAACAACATAACCACTCCTCAAAACTTAACTCTGAAAATTTAAACTCCAATATAAGAACTCCTGGCCAAATAAGCCATCTATCGCCACAGGTTCTGATCCTATCATTCTCATTCCTTTGCCCAGGGTAACTCTTCTTTAATGTTAACCACAAAGCAGCATCTTGCATGCTTCCAGTCTTCACAGCCATTTACAACTTCATCACTCATAAACTACTTGCTACACTACTGCTCTACTCCACATCAAAGGGAAGAGACTACTATCAACAACCCCAGGCCATGCTTCCCACATGCTCCGAAGAACACTATCCACTGTTTTCTGATCCATCTCCTCACAACTCCTCGTGGACCTTCTTTTTGTCTATCTGCCAACACATTTGACACTCTTGACTATACCTTTGTTGGATTCCCAAGCAACTTTCAATTCTGTGTCACCTTCTGTCTTTCATATGGCTCTTTATTCTTATTTTCTATATCTGCTTTCACAATTCATTCCCTTGAACATTGATATTCTAGAATTTCACTCTTTTCTTTTTCCCCATATGACCTCTTTCAATACAATGACTTCAATTATCACATATAGGTTACTGGCTCCCAATGTAAATTTAACTTATTTTTTTTAAGTTCTTCAATTCCTAACCAATAATGTTCTACACTGTCATGGTTAGCTTAAGTTGCCTTCTACCTAACTCAACATGCTAAAATCCTGAATTCCGTATTGTTCACTCCAAATCTGTTGTCTGTATATATTTACCTATCTTTACAGTCTCATTATCCATCCATCCAAGTCATTATCCACTAATCCTTGATCCTACACTTTACCCAGTACAGCAGAGTAGTTAAGAGAATAAGCACTCAATGACCTATTACTCCCCAGTTGGAAAGCTTGCCTAAATTACCTAATCTCCTGTGTCTCCATTTTTTCATCAGAGAGAAAATAACAACATATCATCTATAGGGATATGAATACGAAAGAAATAGGATAAAGTAAAATTCTCATAGTAATAATCAGCACAAAGTCAGTGTTAAAAATATGCTTGCTAATATTACTGCTGTCACAACTAATCAATTAACATGACATTATTTTATTGAACAGCAACTCTTCTCCATATTTTTTCTACCTATATTTCCCTCATCAACTCAGAAACACTATGTTATATTTCATCAATATTTGTGTGGTATCTATTTTTTTTTTTTTATTTTACTACCTCTTCACTGGGATGTTGTATTACAACTAATTGCCTGTTACGTTTTCACAGGCAGCATTTTCTTATTCATATTAGCACACAATAATGCATCTTACAACCAATAGTATCTTAGATTTAATCTATATATAGTAAAGGTCTCTTTCTGATTCTTTCAGGCTCCATTCTGCTCTCCACTAAAATTAACTCCCAAATCCACTACTATATAGGATATATAGGAGTGGGAGAGAATTCAGAAAATAATGAAAGCATTCTACAAATGTCAGCTATTTAATATTATTTCATCTTTCAGCATAAGCATAAGTTGTATTTCAAAGACTTTGGAAAAAATATAATTAACCATTGAAGATTTATCCATTTATAAACCTATTTAACATATACTTACAATGTTCTAGGATCTGGCCTAGGCACTGGGAATATAATTATATACAAAAGAGACTCAAAATCATGTCCTCACAGAATTTTAATTCTAATAAAGGGAGATTTAAAATAAATATTATGTAACCTATAATGTCTGATTATAAGTGCTATGGAGAAAAAAATACAGCAAGAAGGAATAGATTTATCACACTGCTGACCATGATATCATGAAGTGACTCCCCTGAATGGTGATAATCCTAATATTACTGTACTTAGCAACTGCTCCTCAAATTCAAGATCTCAGTTATGTATTTACCCAGGCAACTCTGATTTGGAAAAGAAGGGGTAAATTCAATAGTTTTGTGTTTATTGGGTTTATTGGGCTTATAAGCTGACACATTTTAGTTACCATATTAATAAGGACTGTAGTTATAGTTTCAATGGCCTTGATAAGTCTTTGCCTTTTATATTTTAGGAGGTCATAAATGTTGGATGAGGGCACATGTCAAGTCCACAACTTACTGCCACCTCTGCCTTTCCTGAACTCCCAAAATAGCTAAGTGTTCTTTTTAAAGGGCTTCAGTGCTCTAAAACAGGCATTCCCAGGTGGCTGCTATAACTCATTTCAACCTGGCCAAACAGACATGAATAAGCCTCTTTATTGTTAGTTTTATCTTCCCTTCAGTGCTTGGGAATACAGAATGAGCTCTAAAGTTTATGCTTTATTAACTTCATGAGCCACCAGAAAAATTCCTTCAGTATCATCAGGATAATTCAGTGCAGGTACCTTCAGTGTCTTAATATGATCCTCAGCCTCACTCTTTTCTTTTTTGAAGTGCTTCATCAGCTCCTGGATATTCTGTTCATGCTTAATTTTCACATTCTGCAATGATGATGTGAGATCTTCCAGCTCCCTCTGGTGAACATCTCGTTCTAGCTTTAACTGTGCGATGATTGTAGCTGTTTCTTCATCTTTGGAAATTGCCTGTGCCTTGAGGTCAGAAAGGTTCTTAAGCACCTCTTTTCTAGCTCTCTGTTCCTCTGCCAATTTACTAGCAAGATCTGCTCGAATGGCACTCAAGTCCTTGACAGACTCTTGCATCTCAAGTAGCTGAGCTTTGTCTTTGGCCTGGCTCTTCTTTAACTCTGCAATTTCCTCTTCCAGGTGAGTCTTCTCATCCTTCATCTGATTTTGCATCTTACTCTGCTTTTTCAACTCCATTTCTAACCTGTGGATGGTGTCCACAGAATCCTTGACTTCTACTTCAAGATCAGCTTGATGAGCCTTAACCTCACTTAGTTTCTTCTCTTTAGAGAGAAGTTCCTCCTCTTGAAGGGCACGCTTGGTCAGGATATCATTCAATTCCTTTCGCAGGTTATCTATCTGTTGCAATGCTGCATAAAGCTGGCTTTTCATTTCATCCTTTTCTTTTAGTATCTACCAGGTTAATAACATAAAACAAAACAAAAATAGTTACTGTAAAATTTACCACAGACACTAACCAGAAAACAAAGTTTAATCTACAGTGCAAAGAAAAAGTCATCTAATAATACTATTAATTCCATTTTTAATGAAAAATACTTTTTAATCTAGAAAAAGGAAGAAAACTATAATTTTCTGAGGGGGGATAACTGCAATATATGTTTCAGATTTTTATTACCAAAACATATCAAACTCTGGTCATAAATTATTATTTTTCAAATGTAAAATAAGGTGAGCAAAAGAAAGAGGAGAGAAGGACTCCTGCTCTAATTCACCAGAGGTTGAAATGATGTAGTGTTATATAAAGTAACAGTTATTTGCATTTCAATGACATACTTTTAGAATGGAGAAAACTCAAAACAGGTATGAAATATAGAAAAGTGTGCTGATACAATCTAAGAAAGGTTATGGTTCAATCAATCATCACTAATAAAATAGTGTGAGTGGTGACAAGAAATACAACAGTATCTAACTGGAAGCCTAGAAATCTCACAAAGGTAGAGAGGATATTTATTTAAGATTAATAGAAGTAAGGGACAGACTCAAGAGAAAAAAAAATCAAGGGACCAGACATCTGCCACCCTCTGCCAGTCTCTTTTAGGAGGTTAGTGTTTACAAGGAGGGACAGAAACCAATATAACTAACCCTCGCCACTCATCAATATAATTGAAAACATTAAGACTCAAAGGAAGCCAAGATTGTTTTCTGGTCCAGAACTGGCACCAAGGAGATTCATTCTAGGTGACTATGCAATGATGCCCACCATGGCTTGACTCGGGGGGAAAAAAAATATTAAGATTCACATTTCAGAATTGCATTAAAATGCAAAAAGTTACAAGACATTTTACACCCTACATTTTATGCCATGTGAAAGAATTCATGATAAAATACTTTGAGTCAATCACTCAAAATAAAAAGGTTTCCTCAAATCCCTGTCTATCTTAACATGGAAAAACAAAAAACTAACTTCTCAGCAAAACAATAAAAGTAGGTGATTAAGCAGTTGAGCTCTAATCAGCAGTGAACTAAAAAAGATTATCAGTCCAATCATGAGTAGTTTTATGACTTTAAGGAAAAGTATTTAAGGCTTCAGAAACAATAATAATGTTACTGATAGTATTATGATGAAGATTATTGGGAAATGAGAAACCAAATATAGGAGTGGGGTTTAATTTTAAGGAAAAAGCAAGATTTCAGGGAGGTATCTCAGCAAGATAGTGATCTAAACTCTAACAAGGGCAATAAAGCCACATCTTTATAGAAGAAGTCTCCAGAACATAAGTTCACTTTGGAAAGGCAGGGAAAAATGAAAGAAATATAGATAAGTCTAAGGGTAGATATGATATTTTTTTCAATTACAACATAACAAATTCCAACCAACCTAGTGGTTTAAAACACTGTCCATATATAACTTCACTGTTTCCTTAGATCTTAAGTCCAGGCAAGATATTTTGCACAGGTCTCCTAAAGCTAAAATGTGTCAGCTGGCTGGGCTCTTATCTGAAAATGTTGGGTGAGAATCCACCTCTAAGTTCATTCATGTCACTAGTAAAATTTAGTTCTACATGATTAGGAATTTTCTCCCTGCTTCTCCGCTAGTTTTCAATCAGCAAATTGAGCCAGCTGTGAGCTTCTGCAGGCCACACACATTCTTTGGCCCATGGACTCTTCTGTTTCTAAAGCCAACAATAGCAGACAGAATCCTTCTATTTTGAATCTGATTTCCCAAAAGTCAGAAAACTTCCTGCTTTTAAGGTCTCTTTTCATTCACTAGATGCATCCAGATAATCTCCTTATCTTATGGTCAACTGTGTGAAATAACAAAACATAATCAAAGAGTAATAAATCATCCTCTTCACAGATCCCGGAATTAGGGTGAGACATCTTTGGGAAAATATTCAAATCTCTTCTATAAAGCGAAATGTGTGAGGAGCACAGAGTGAGAATGAGAGGAGGTAATTCTCAATGGCAATAGGTAACATAATCCTTTAGTCATGAGTTAAGAGGTTTTTCAAGCAGCCCTAAAATTAAAATGTCATATTTTTATTATGAAGCTCTATCAGGTAAAAATTTCTTTGCAAAATAATATAACATATTCCTGAAATTGGTTTAAATAGCAAGAATTTTTTTTCTCTCACAAAACAGGAAGAAGGAAGAGAGGGCAGTGCAAGAGTCCTTCAAATCTCATACTCTGCTCTGCTACTCTATAATTCTCCAGGTTTTGGCCTTCTGAGTGTGCCAAGCATCAGATCAAATTATACCAAAGGTGATAGCCTTAAGATGGACAATCACTGACTACATCATCAAATTTGGAATTTCTCTGGCATATCAGATGCTAAAAACGAAGTAAGGTCTGTGTATTTGTTTTTGGCTAATTGCTTGGCTGGTAGCCATAGCCCAACATTTTGTCTAGACATTGTCTATGAGTCTGAAAATGTCAGACTTGATATCCACCACCTCAATATCCTGGATGTTCTCAGTGGAACTATGTTGAATAGCCTTTATCTTTAGGGAAACCAAACAATGGACTATGGTTCCCATTGGTGAGGATACATAAGTATAAATACTTGAAAGAAGTCTGAGACATCAGGCTTGTTTTTTACTCTAGTTTCTCCTAAATTTCAAACTTCTTCTCTTGCTTGGACTAACTTCAACATGGACAAATAACTTGGCTTTTCCAATCCTAAGAGACTCCAAATTCTCAGTCTCAGTCAATTTGGATTACTGGTTATAGATTTCAATCTTCCCAACCCAAAAACTACTACTCTCTACTTTCAAACCAACCAGCTTCAATCTAAATTTGCCTTTCTTTGAAGACTACAAAAAGTATATACACCTGAAGTTTTCCCACTGGCCATTTTATACCATACTGAGAAACAGCATAGGGACCCCAAAATATGACTTCTGACAGTTTAACCATTTCTAAAGAATAATTTTGCTAACTTTCTCCTTAGGAAAAAGATGATACTCCCTTCCCCCATCTTCTTTCTCCACTTAGCAATCCTTCATTTTAGGTTCTTTAACTTATAGCTCCCTAGCCCTAGAATTAAATCTTCACATCAACTTGAATTTCTTCTGCTGAGAGTAAGAGAAAAACTCTTAATTCAAGTTAGTTTAAACAACAAGATAATTAATTATGGTTCCAGGTAAAACTACTCTATGCGTAGTTTGTCAAAGCTCTAGGTCCACCTCTCTGCAGTTCTCACTCTGCAATAACCTCCTCTAAGAGAAGTTTCATTTTCAGGTCCATAGCAAGACAACTTCAGTCATTCCAAGCATTATTACAAGACAGAACAATAACCAGAGAGAGAGAAAAATCTCTCTTCTTGTGGATCATTTAAAGAAGTAAGCAAATGTTTACCAGAAGCTCCACATTTCACAGCTTATTTATCAATAATCAGGAAAGGATTATATGACTAGTACATGACTTACTCTAATTTTTGGATTGGAATTCATTGGGGATGGATTAGAGTGGGTTTGGAATACACGAATAATTTTTCCTTGTAGGTTTTGTTGGTACTACGCAGGGCAGGAATGGAAAAAGTGAAGAATTGGGTTGATTCCTGATGAAGAGCAGTAAAATGTATGAACTAAGGAAAATTTTGAGGATGCTGATGAGTAGCATTTCATGAGTCCAGTATAACAGGGGAAAAAAAAAAAACTGGTTTCAGAAAGTAACTGGTCAACCAGAGGAATGTAGAAGGTTACAAAAATAATCAGGTAAGAATAGTTAAAGAAGGAAAAGGGAATAAAAGATATATAAGAGGCTGAGATTTTGTAAATAAATATTTTAACATAGAACAATTATAGAAGATAATAAACTTTAGCCTGAGAAACTAGTTGCTGAGTGATTTAAAGGTCACTGTAAAACAGGATATTAATGAAGTATAAATATACAGGGTTCAATGTGCTGCTGACTTGAACTCTGAAGTCACCAAGGATAATGGCAAGAATTACATGTAATGAAATAGGTTGTAGGAATTGAGGTGCTAAAATGCCCGATTTATGTGGAGGCATAATGGAAAAATAAGTAGCAGTAAGGGATGATGAGAGGAGCAGTAAGGAAAAATTACAGAAAGAAGGAATGAAAATGGCTGTATGAAGCCAGAAGAAAGAGATTTTTCGAAAACAATGATGTTTATAGAACAACAGCTAACTCCTCAAAGGCCTGATCACAAAATAGATATGCTTTTCTGAATTAATTAAAAGGTAGACAAAGAAATTTTTAAAAGAACAAAGTTATCTTTCTGTACTTGAGGGAGTATGCAGACTGAAGGATTGCACAAATACAAAGATACCCTAGTCTTCCTTAAATTGCATTTGATAGGGCTGCATGTGCATTAAGAAAGGATGCACAGTTAGCACTGATTCTTCATACTTTCTAACCTTAAAAAAATCAAACTTTAAAAGATAAGCATATTACGTATGGCAATTTTCCCCCTAAACATTAAGATATTACAAGGAAGGAAAAGATAGAAATTTAAGTACCTTGAAGAAAGTTTAATATACAGACAAATCAATTATTCTGCAAATACAGCAAAAATAATAAAATTTAAAAATGAGGAAGCTTTCCTAATAACCAAGCTAAAAATGAATATAATGTGAAACACTGAAAAAAGTATACGCTATGATCAGAATCCAAATTTCAACTTTTTCCTTTACTGTTTTCAAAGCAGATACAAAAGTCAATGATACTTTAAGAGAAAAAGACCAAAAATATTTTGTGATAGATTACTGGCACCTATAGCTTTGCATCCTCCAATGTGTTCATCTACATATCTATAAGCACATCTTGATTTACTGATGTAAATATCCATGCCCTTTCCTGAAAATCTGATCTTTGCTACTTTTTACAAAGTGATTTGCTTGATATTCCATATCCTACAGTAATAAAGTAGTTCTGTAGTAGTTATATCCAAAAATCTTGCAAAGATTCCAAAAGTGTAAAAAAGCAAGAGGGAAAAGTAGAATAATTGTTAAGGAAATAAAAGCATTTAGCCCTTAAGTATATGCTAAGTGGCAAATATTAAAGCAGTAAATAAATTATGCTAGAAAAAAAAATGAAAGTAGACACAGAACTATTTGCATATACAAAGATTACATCATTTGAGCATATAAAGTGCTTCAACAAGGTTACTTATTAAGCAATTTATTCTTTAAATCATAATGTATTATATTTAAATGAGTACCATTTTTAATATAAACTTTCAAATATACCCTGGAGTCACTTTTTGGAAATAATCCTTAAAAACAAAAAGGAGTGTCTAAATTGCTAATTCCTTTAGAAACAATTTTATTAAGAATTAAAAACACCTTAAAAGTATTATCCAATAAGAAATAAAAAATATAAACTTTTTTCCCTAAAATTATTTGTAACATATTTCCACATCACAGACTTAGTGGACACTTGAATTTGCAGTGAAATATCTGTTACCCTTTCTTCCTTGATTAACCATTGCTCTAACTGCGACATGCTGCATTAATTTTTAAGGCTTTTAAAGTGGAAATTACAATGCCTGCTGTGATAATTGTGATACTACCCTAACTGTGGCAATCACTTTAAAACTACTTCTTTGCTTATCATTAGCAATGCTAAGTGATAAAAATAATTATATCAGGAATAGGCTGGGAAATGATTGTTTAACAATTTTTAATATTCTGAAAAGCTCAGTCTAGAAAACTCTCAGCACTGTGGATTAGGATACTGTCTGATGACATGGCCTTTTCTAAATTTCCTCTCGCTAAATAAAATCTCTGAGTGATTCAATCAATCAATCTGTTCTATCACTCCTCTCTCTAGCTACCTCACTTATAGTCAGTCTCTTTTAACCAGTTGCCAGAATAAGCTGACAATCAAAGAATCAAGGTAGAAGAATTTCCTGTGATCAAAACAGTTCTGAATCAAGTCTGAAAGCTCTAGAACTGTTTCACCTCAGGCCAACCAGTTCCCTAGTCCATGTCAATTGGGTTCTATTTCAAGAGCACTCCACAGTGACTGCAAGGTGATACCTGCCATCATTTCTAAATGGCCAAGATATGCAAAAGGTGAAAGATCTTTTCCATGACAACTTATTTGAAATAAGCATCTTTAGTGCCAACAACTGATTTTATAAATATAATTACACGACATTTTGCTTTCCTTTGAAAGAAAAATCAACTAATCCAAATGATTAGCCTTCTGAAATGTCCAAAATTCTTAACAAGTAACAAATGACAAAGCAAAAATGATAAACCAAAACTAAACACGGATAAAAATCAATCATGACTTTCCTGTTGATTATCTTATAAATATCTGCACTTAGCTCAACCCAAAGATATAGTTGAAAATCAACATAAGCGTATAAAATCCACTTAAAAGAAACTGATTATACAAGAGAAAGACGATGTGAAATGCATACACAGATCAGTGAAATGTGTTCTGGTAGTATCAATAAGTCACAAAAGCAGAGTCTTAAAAAGACTTGGGATTGAATAACACAGTACTTAGTCAGTGAGACTATCAATGTCACTCACTGGGTTTAGCTCATTATAGTTGCTGCCAGAAAATAGTCTTAGCAGTACTAATTCGGTTTTAAATGCTTCTTTCTAACCAATACTTAAAATGAAATATCCAAGTAAAAAAAAATTAAGATTTTAAAATACATGCATTGTGGCAAAAGCCATAAAATGCTGGGGAAGGTTTAGTAATTTTCTTCCATTTGAATATTAAAGAATAATTTCAATTGAATAATGTCAATTTAGTGAAAAGCTGAATTTGGGATAAGGGGTGTCTCTATTTTAAAGGCCAACTCTCAAAAGCCATAGATTTTAAGCTGCTAAAATAAAAGAGCCCCCCGCAACTCCCTGTGGTGCAACAGGTTAAAGTGCAACACTACGAAGCTACCCACAGCTCCTTCACCAGGAGTTCCAGCTCCATTCAGGGAAGGTGACCCACAGGTCACAGCAGACTTTACCTCTCTCTCCCCAGATGCTCCACCTCCATTCAGGGAAGGTGACCCACAGGTCACAGCAGACTTTACCTCTCTCTCCCCAGATGCTCCCCTTAGCAGTGTACTTCGTCAGTCTACCTGTTCTGCTCCTCACTCTGTCTCTGATGAATCCTCTCACCGCCCTTGCCTTTTGCCTGTATCCCAGTTCTTGTATGCATAAACAAATAAACATCTTTTAAAAAGCTTTAAAATAATGAAAAGGTAAATTACATTCTACCTTGAAATGGCCAAGACATAGACTCTTCTGTCAAGAATATCTTGATAGATTATATGCATAACATAGCATTGAAGTGAGTATACAAAGAACAGATGACTGAATGGCTGGTCAGATCAAAAATCATTCCTTAAAGATTTGACATTTTTACCTGGTTATTCTTGTCTGTCAGTTGATCAAGTGTTTCAGATTGTTTGTCCAATTCTCGCTCTAACTTCTTATACTTAAGCTTCCACTGCCTAATGGACTCTTGAGCCTTCAGTTTCAGCTCTTCTCTCCTCTTCTCTGCCTCCTGTCTCAGGGACTCCGACTGCTGGAACTCCAGGAGGTACTGCTCCGCCTGCTTGGTTGCATCCTCAGCATGGAGAGTCAGTTCTGAGATCTGGAGGTCCGCACGCTTTTGCTTAGCCTCACATGTCTGAAAGTGATTCTGGATCTCCTTAAGTTGATCCAACATTGTTAGTTGCTGCTTTTCCCTGCTTTCCAATTCACCTGTTAAATACTAGAAATAAAGTATGTGAAATATTAGGAACATATTCCTATCAAAAAGGAATAAAATATCAAGTAAGAATCTACTGTCACTGAAATGGTAATAAACTGTATTAAATTTCATTAGCAATCAATCTAGAAAATAGATGTCACTTACTAAATATTTAATAATTATATTCATTTTTATAGAAATGTTTTCTTTTTTACACCATGTCCAAAAAGAGAAAGTAGGTATACTGCAATTAAATAATCACTAAAATAGAAGGTATTATTGATGAAAAAATCACATGCATTAGTTTAGCAACAACTTAGTGCCTTGTCTAACGGAAGAGACATCAATATTTTCAAATGTATCATTATCAGTATTAGTAGTAATCATATATAACACTGTACTTTCTGACAGCACATAGAATTTTCTTATAAAACATCTGCAACCAAAAGAAAAAAACTGGAAACATCAGCATAGATTATATTATTTAAAAGTTCACTGAAAAGGCTCTTAATGTTTATAGGCATTCCAGTTCCATCAAACATGTTCCAAGTTGAGGCACCTATCTCAAGCTTACATGAATAACCTATGTCTTGATTTTTAAAATATCTATGTAAATATATCTAGGTGAATCAAAAAGATAAGAAATCTTAAAAATTATCTCCCTAAAACAGTCAGGCAACAATGTATCATAAAATCATATGAAGTCATAATGATTCATACATATTTTTTAATTTGAGTAGAATGGGAAAATATCTCAGTTCAAAAATAACAGGACATTTTACACAAATTAAGGACAGCTATATCATTATTAACATTAGGTAAACATGTATAGCCTTGCAGGGAGTGGCAAATTCAGAAGTGCTTGAAAAATTTCCCATGAAGATATCCACTGAGTCTTTGACCCCAAGTTCCTGGGGTAACAAAGAGAACATGTGTCCAAATAAGACTGGATTCAGGAGGCTAAGATGATGCTGAGAGGTGAACAAACAATAACTATCTTCTACATCCAAAGACTCCTACAAATGGAAACTGGAAATATTTACCAACTTCCTCTGGCTCTAGAGGCAGAATATTCAGTTCCAGATTCCACTAGTCCTGAACTGTGGCTCAAATAAAACTAAATATTTCTCTCATGATTAAAATCATGGTTGACATTATGGCACACAAAAAAAGGAGTAATAATGCCTCAAAAACAAGTTCTATTTTTCTGAGCAACAGGTTTGCATTTGCTGGGTTTGCTAAATTCAATGCAGTCTGGAAGAGATGAGTCATTCCTTTATCCACCCACCAAAAATACAGTAAATTGAGAACTATGCACTTGTTTGTGTGGAAAATTTTAAAATGAAATCAGAAAACTAGTGATTGTGGCTTACCCTTTTGTCTGTATCTAAAAGTTTTACCATTGTGCTAGAAATCAACTTTATTAGCAAATGATTTCTGTATCCAGAGAGAAAGACAGTTTTTTTTCCACAACAAACACACCAGGAAAATGGTTACATCTCTTATGTATTCAGCACTTAATTTACCTCAAGATTAACAAGACCTGACTTCAATACTGCAGAAGCTAACACTGGAAAGACATTCACACTAGGAGATATCTTTATGCTGCATAATGATGGGTGCTATGAAGTGATGCATAAGTACCCAGAAGGGTCTCTATTCTAGTGCCAAGGAAGGTCTCTCTTAGGATATATGAAGTGAGATCTAAGTGAAAAGGAGTTAGCAACAATAATTTAAAAAATAGTAATAATGATATCAATTAAAAAATGACAGCTACTATGGAAATTTATTGAGCACTTGCATTGTTCAAGAGATTATGCAAATGATTTAGATGAATTACCTCATTCAATTGCACCACAAAACTAAAGTAAGGCACTGTTATTAATTATGTCTATTTTACACATAGGTTATCAGTGCCTGGTAAGTTGCCTAAGACCTCATACCAAGTAAGGGACTGAATTCAGACCCAGATAATCTGACTCCAGACACCATGTTTTTGTTTTGTTTTGTTTTGTTTTTTCTTAAATAGCTTTCTTTCTTTTTTTTTTTTAAAGATTTATTTGGGCATACAGAACTGGGGTAGAGGCCAGAGGCTCAGGAGCAGCAAGAGGCTTCACCAGAGACAGAGTGGGGAGCAGAACAGGCAGATAGACGAAGTACACTGCTGAAGGGAGCAGTTTGTGGGTCAAGAGAGGTCTGCCTCGCCATGCTGTCACCTCCGGGGCAGGCGGGAATCGAACTCATGCGGAAGTGGCTTTAGCTTCTCATTGCTTGTGCTTTAACTCGCTGCGCCACCAAGGAGGGCCGACACCATGTTTTAAACTCTTTGCAAAGCTTCCAGATTCTCAGATGACCCTAACTCCATGCCTCTTCAGTCACTGGCTCCCATTATCCTATCTCAGTGTGTTTTTAGAACTTCCACTTTTGAATCAAGAGGTGGGTTCCCTTGCCCATTTCACCCACCTTCTCAGCTCCCACCCTCCTACGTTACCCCTTCCCCCTTGCCATACCTGCTTTATCTACCAATCTGCCCAGTTCTCTCTTTCTCCTGATACATCTGCTCTTCATTGTCAAATTGATTACTTGATATTTTTTGTTGGCTTTAAGTCCATCTTTAATCTAATTTCCTTCATTTTCATTTGAGCCAATCTCTTGCTCACATATCAAATTCCTTTTTAAAAGTGGTCATCCAACGAAATTGAACATGAAAACCACCAACTCTGGAAAGCAAAAGTTTCCCAACTTTGGGAAAACTAAACAATTTCCTATCTCCCACCTCAGGTACTATGTCCTCTAAGGAAAGTCAAACAGGATTATTGTTGCTGAAACTGCACACCAAGAGCAAGCTCCTCAGTGACCAGAAACCCTTGTGGTTGCCTCCACCTACCATCATTCCAACATGTCCTCTGACCCAACCACCTTTATATCACTCTCACTATTCAATACAGTTGATTTCAAAACTAAAATTCATGCTCTTAGGACACCCGTCAAATTTCCATCTTTCACCATTTTGAAATTTATCAATGGTTAGTCTCTCCTGCTCTGCAGGCTCAGAGGAAAATGAATACTTCTTCCTGAGACAAATTAGCCTACATTTGCTATAGATTTCCACATCTACATCCACTGTTTGATGTCCCCTCTTCTATACCTTAAATATCTCTTTACCTACAAGCTCACTCCTCTCTAATCCCACCATTTCTTAAAAATCACAATAATGTTTGACTAAAATAAAGATAATACTAAATAAAACAACCTCTCTTAATTCAACATCATCTTCTAATTACCATGTCCTCTACTCTCCAGTTAACCAAACTTCTGGAAAGAACAAACTTGAAACACCATAATCTTTTTGGTTTCATGTTAAGTTTTTCTTTAATTTTACTTAAGTTTACAAAACAATGTAAGTTTCAGTAGTACAAACTTAAACCTCAATAAGTACATTATACCGCAGCACACCCATCACCAAAGTTCTGCTGTCATTCACCACTATCAAGTTGACCTCTTCTTTCATTTCCTCGCATTTTTTCCCCCTTCTCCTTCAGTAAATACTATTTGGGTTTTGTTTTGCTAGTCTTCACTTTATTTCTCATTTTAGTAAAGCAACATTAGCGTAGAGCCATGTAAACATTTAAGATAGTTTCTTTATATTCTACTACCACCACGTACACAAATGTCCAGTCATCACCCACCAACAATCAATTGGTCTCCTCTATCCAATCCCTTCCCCTATATTCCCTCTGGTATCTATTTCTGTTTTACCTTTGTTCCCTTGCTTTTTCCCCTTTATATTTCACAAAGACAAAGTCACATGTATTTGTCCTTCCCCTTCTAATCTCAATTAGTATAATCCCCTAAACATTTATCCATGTTGTCAAAAGGGCAAGAGTTCATCTTATTTTTATGGCTCAGTAGTGTTCCACTGTATATACTTCATCTTCTTCACCCATTGATCCATCATCGTAAGTCACCTGGGTTGTTTCCATATTGTGGTTATTGTGAATAGTGCTGCAATAAGGGCAGGATTGCAACTGTCTTTTTGAATTAGTGTCTTCATATTCTTCTGGTAAATACTCCAAAGTGGAATTGCTAGATCATATGGTTGTTGTAAATTTTAATTATTTTGGAGATATATTCATACCATTATTCATAGTAGCTGTACCAATTTACATTCCAACAATACACAAGGTTGTTTTTTTCCTCCACTTTTGTTTCAACACCAACACTTATTTCTTAACTTTTTGATAATACTTATTTAACTTGTGAGGTGAAATGTCACTGAAATTTTGACATGCATCTTCCAAGTGATAAGCAATGTAGAACAACTTTTCTTGTTGGCCTCTTGACCAGATATATTTATATCTTCTTTGGAGAAATGCCTGTTTAGATCCTCTGCCCGTTTTTTAAACAGGATGTTTTTAAAGTTGTTGAGTTATATGAGATATTTATATATTCTGGATATTAATCCCTTGTCTGACATGTAGTTTGAAAATATCTTCACACCTTCAGTAAGCTGCCTTTTCATTTTGATAGTGTCTTCTATGCAGGAGCTTTTTAGTTAGCTACAGGCCTATTTGTTTATACTTTTTTTATTTCTCATGCTGTTGGGAATTAATCCATAAAGATATCATAAAGGCAGATGTAAAGAAGAGTATTGCCAATTTTTTCCTTCTAATGAATGTTGGGTATTAAATCTAAGACTTTAATCCATTTTGAGTTGAATATTAGTATGTTGCATAAAACAGTTTAGATTCATTATTTTCATGTGGCTGTAAGGTATTCTCAACACCATTTATTGAAAAGACTTTCCTTCCTCCATTGTATGTTCTTGTTAGCTTCGTCATAAATTGTAGTCAATATGTACACGTGGATTTCTTTCTGGGCTCGATTGGTCTCTGTGGCTGTTTTATTCCAATGTCACACTATTTGATTACTGTGGCTTTGTAACATAGTTTGAAGAATGGAGGCATAATACTTTAAATTTTGTTCTTTTTTTCTCAAGACTATTTTGACTATTTGAGTTG